TTATGTGGTCTCCCTTCCAACTCCAAGAAGTACTCAAGGTATAGATTTTTATCTCAGTCTCACTAAAGATGAAACTGAGCTTGAGAGAGGGGACATGATTTTCTTGAGATAATTTATCTTCTAAGCAATCAAGCTAAAAGTAACCCAAGATTGTTGGTACCAGTCTTATGCCTTTTGCGTCTATGCCATCATGAAACCACGCAGTTGGTCTGCCAGTCATTTTGTGGAAGCATGAATTGACTACCTGTCAATTTGGCATGTGCAGATGGAAAAGTGCAGCCTTAGCCCTGGGGGAGCTGCTACAGGATGGTTAGGGAAATGGATGAGGAAATCAATGACAGCAATTAAGGACTCGGATCATCAGGCAGATCATTTGAAGAATGGTTTTATTGTTCGTCTCAAAGGTATATAATATATGCTATCTTAGAATGGAATGATAGAATAATTAACAAATGACAGGATGTAGGCATCAGCCAAAAACAGATACTACATAAACAGCTCTGCCAATAAGCAGACATTATGGTACAATGTCTACCATCAGGCGTCCATGGACTAGTAGAAGAAGCAGAGGGAGACACAGTATGCATTGTGCTAACAATAAACATGGTGGTGTGAGTGTGCATGGAGAAGGAGTCTCCCTCCCTGGATGTGAGAGTCATGCAAACTTTCTCAGAAGGAATGCCATGAAGTAAAACTTGAAAATAAACCTTATCATGAAGATAAAATGTGGTTCAGTACTAGGGAATTAAATGGACAAAGTTTCACTATTTTCTAAATTATTTCTTTGAGTTTTCCAAATAAAATTTTGAGCCTCTAAGATCCTCAGTGATTGCCCATTTTGTACAGGACACAAAGAGCTAGAGTGTCTGAGGAGTATACCCACAGCCATTAAACTAGCATCAAGGCTTGAACAGAGCCCCAGTCACACAACTGACTTGCTAGTTAATTGCATACCTGACTTATCCTATGCTGCCAGGCAAAGAATCTCCCTCTGTTTTGCCTCTCATCCAGTGACATCTTTTGAGGGTTTCTTCCCTTTGCTATCCAGGGAACAGTATGAAAAGATGAAAAAGAGTAATCAATAAAGATGTGTAAACATGTTGAGAAAACTTGACATTACATCTAATTTAATGACTGACACACTGTGATAGACCAGAGTTTCTTCATTGTTGGGAAAGAATTCTGGCCACTATAGAGTAACATGGGATTTCTAGATGGTTGCTAGCATGCTAAAAGAAACTCTAAATGAAGAGGAGGAGCTGGGGGCAGTGGAGGAGAACATCATTAGAGTGAGAAGCCAGTGATCCCCTGTCCTCTTCAAATGGGTCTAGTCCTGGCCAATATTCCACTCACTGTCTAGTCATCTGGAAAAAAACGTATTGCATTTGATAGGCCATTAAGGAAATGAGATGATCTCACCTGGGCAAACCTCATCCTCTCTGGACTCCCACCCACTGCCTCCACCAGCAAATCATGAATGATAACAGCAGACATCAGAGCTAGTCCTTGGCAAAAAGCTCTGTGCAGAGGTGGTGTTTACAAGCACCATTTTGCCCTCTCACGTGGGTAAAGAATGCTTACAGTACCAAAAAAGATAGGACTAAGATCAGATGTCAAAAGGTGTAACATCCTTTCCACATAGGATGAATGGCTACTAATTTCCGTGAGCATACTCTGCCTTAATGACTTGCGAGTTTGGTGACTTGGTTCTGGCTCTGATGACTCTGAATGGACAGCATCCACAGTGGTCTCTGGCTAGTCAAATCTCTCTGGGCTCCCTTTCTTTATCTGTACAATAAATGTGCTGGGCACCATAATCCAATTTCCCCTTGGGTTCTGTGGGTAGAAAAGAAAAAAGCTAATTATAAAGCACAGGATGTCAAGCATTCATGTGTCGCCCATTATATCATTCGTTCAGCAAACACTTCCTGAGCTTCTACAATGTCCAAAGTTCTTTACTAGGCACAAGAAAAAAACAGCTGTTGTCACTGACCCACAGGAAGCCTAGAGTCTAGGGGGAAAAACTGGACATGCTCAGCATAACTAACCATGTGGAAGCAGTGACAGTCCTAACAGAGTTTTGATATGTGTGTGGAAGCATTTTTATGAAAGACATCTACATAAGAAGCTCCAAAGCAAAGCTAGATCACAGCTGGATGATAAATGCCTGTAAGCAGATGGGGTAAGGCATCTAAGTGAAGGTCAGCGTAAGGAGAGGCTCAGGTGTTGGAGAGCACGCTGCGTACGCAGGCCCTTTTGCCCAGAAGGAACAAAGGCTGCGAAGGGTGTTATAGTACCTTAAAGAGCATCTGCACAGCCAGGAAAACAGTTACCAGAAGAAGGAGACATCCTACAGAATGGAAGAGAAATTTTGTTAGCTATTCATCCTAAAGAGGATTACTATCCAAGATATATTTTTAAAATTCCAAAAATTAACTACTAAAAGGACAAACTCAATCCATAAATGGACAAATGAGTAGAGCAGACAGTTCCCAATGGAAGTATGCCCATAAATCCATGGGAACTGTTTGACATCTTTCATCATCAGGGAAAGGTACAGCAAAACTACTCTGAGGTTCCATCTCAGCCCAGTCATGAAGAAAACAGAAACCAACAGATCTTGAAAAGGATCTGGGAGGAAGACCCTGGTGGTGGTTTGAATGGGGCTCCAAGTATTTGAGCACTTGGTACCCAGGATCCTCAGTTCATGGTGCTCTTTAGGGAGCATCATGGAACCTTTAAGAGGTGTGGCCATGCTGCAGAAAGCAAGTCACTGGGAGTGGATTTTGACAGTTCTTAAGCCTTGTCAGACTTCCAGTCACTCTCAGCTTCTTATTTGTCAAGATCATTACCTGTTTCCTTCCATGATGACCAACGTGGTCACATTTGGCTTTGTTGCCCTATGACTGGTTAAACAGCTTGTAGTAAACATTTATCAATGACACTGAGATATGAATCAAGAATGTGGAGAGATTTGGGGGCTGGGAGTCTGGAATCTGGGACGTTTTTGCAAGCCTTATTAGTCACCCAGTTTTCCAGCAGACTCCTCTCTCAACTTATTTAAACACCTTGTTTAAATACATTTAATTAACTACAAATACGTTAATTATGTATTGTGGGTAAACATAGCTTGTAGGCTACATGACATAAATACTCTTCTAATATTGTATTACTAACAGAGGAGGTAAGCTGGGTTCACTTAGGAAAGCCCAGAGGCATGGAAGCATTCACTACTGGAAGCTGGAGACACAGCCCTTGCTACTGAAATATGTCTTGGCTAAAATGCAGAATTAAAAGTTTCAAAGCAACCAACATTTGAATTGGCCCAAATGGTTTAAAAGTTCAAATGAGCTGTTTTATGAGATGCCTATTTAAGGGCTTTCTTGCTAACTGGAAGTGTCACTTAAGCAGAGAGTTCTAGAATCCTTGAGTTGGAGCAGCCATAGGGACAGTCTGAATTCTCTTGTTTTTTTTTTGTTTTTTGTTTTTTTTCAGCTGTAGAAACTGAGACCTACGGATCAATAATAAAGTCTTAGAGATGGCATCATTTAGTATTGAAAATAGGCGAATGCTGGAAACCTCTGCTGTTAGTTAATTTTTAAAATCAGAAAGCTCTTCTAAATTACTTCAACAGAAGAAATGCATTTTCCATGTTCTGATATAGCAGCGATGTCTGTACAACGTGTGATAGTCCACTACAGTACAACATATTTAAGTACCACCAGTTAGAAATTTGTCCTGAGCCACAGGCTGTAAATGCTACCCAGGTGTATTCCTTTGATGGAATTACACTGCTTCTCTAAACTGGGACTCCTTTGTCTGCTTAAGGGAACCCTTGCATCGATGGTACTTGAAGTTACAAGGGCTTGATCAATTAGCATTCTTAAAGTACTGTGGCCAGCACCTAACTCAGACTCACTAAAGGAGGGCTCAGTGGGAAGAGTCTAAGAGGTACTTTCTTTTCCTGCCTGGTCCAAGCAAGCCCAGAAGTCCCCTCCAGCGTGGGTGGCTACTACTTCTCTCCCTCAAATGCTCCCACATGCCCTGGGGATACGCAAACACTGGAACCGCGGGATGACTCAGTTTTTGGAGGCGATCCACAGCTAGATGGAGAGCAAAGACGCAATCCTCAACCTCCAAGATAAAGTTGTTACCTTTGGAAAACTATTACTGCTTTTCTTTAACTTCTATAGTGAGCACCTTTCAGTCCCAAGGCGAGAGCCCAGCGCCCTTCCTGGGAGATTCTGCTAAAATGGCACTTAGCCCTGGGCGTTTGCAGTGTTGAAAAGCGTCTCCCTGCAGGACGCTGGAGTTGGGACAATGATTCCTCTGGCAGCTGGGCATGCCTGGCTTCCCCTTCAGGAAAGCCCCACAGATCTACGCTGGCAGCACGTTCCCCACCTGCTGAGAACTAATCTCGGGTCATCTTATAGCGGCCCCAGGGAAACCTGAACCTGCCCCAGGCTTGTTGCAAGGTTTTATCTCCACTTTCCAGGAACTCGGCTCAGCCCCGCTTTCTCTGATGTGCCACCGAGCAGCTGCTGCCAGAGCCCAGGCGAGCCCAGGTCGCATTTCCAGCTTGAGGAAGAGCAGAGCCAGGATCCCGCTCCCGGTCGCTCCCGGGGCTTCTGTTTCACAATTAGAAAACTCGTTGGGGAGCAATACAAAAATCACACTTCACTAACAGCTCCTCTGCGGGGGCGGAGGAAGCGGGAATTCCTACTTTTTTCGCCATAAATTGTATGCAAATGACTCCTTAGCTGGCCGAGCGCCTGGAGTGAGTGCGTCTTTCATGAGCTAACCCCGTTCCGCTGGGAGGGCTGTGCCTTTAATTCACCAACTGAAAAAAAAAAAAAGTGGGAAAGGATGTCTGGAGGCGAGGCGTCCCGTTACAGGGGAAGGAGCTCGCTATATAAACCAGCCAAAGCTGGCTGCTCTGGCCACAGCCTGCCTACTGTCACACGCCTCTCCCGCGCAGACACGCACCCCCGCCGCCTCTGGGCCGCACAAAGGCAGTGACTGGGGAGCCGCTAGGGACTGCGCACGTGGGAACCCGCTGTGGCTCACCTCCAGGTACTGCGTCCACGGAGCCAGTGCACCCACGGACCTAGGCTTCCCCTACCAGGGAAAGGTAAGTGTGTGTTACCCCCATCACACAAACTCCTTCTGGAGTGCCCTCACAACACGAGTGCACTGCGGTTTTGTAATTATGAAACTTTTGCATTGGTTTCCCGGCTGGCAAAAGGGGGTTTCTGTTGGCGCGATCCTGATCCGAGGCACCTTGGTTATTCCCCTGGAGCCTTGCTGTAGTCTAGTATTTGGTTTATTGTGAATAGTCACACTAGGGAACTTTCTGTGTAGCTTTTGTCTCTTTCTTTGGAATTGCTGTCTTTACCCCTTGCCTGGTTGATTCACACCTGTGGATTCTTCTTTGAGTGTTAGAAAAGTAGAATTTGAAAGGGGAATTTGCTTACAGCCACGGGGGTGGCAGGGGTGGGGTGGATTATAAAAACCCTATTGTTGTACCCATCTCATCTGACCCTCACGATGTCCACCAGTGGAGAGAGACTTGGGATCCAGGAGTAAGGAGGTGAGTCTTAGGGATGGATGAATAATCCACAGGCTGCAAGATGATGAATAATCCGAACCTGGTAGGAATTCCCATGGGGTTTTAGGGCAGGGGAACTTCTTGTGAATACCTCCTGATTCACTGATCCTCAGGTGGGTCCTGTGTATGTTTAGGAGGCTCAGAGCATCAGCATCCCAAGTTTCTCCCAACCCACCCCTCTTTGCTCACACTTATCCCAGAATATCCTAAGGAACATCTTCCCCAGATATGAGAGACCACCTTCCATGGTGAACTTGTGAACTGAATTTGGGTTAAGAGCTAATGTTCAAAAAGCAGAGGTGGCTTGGGCACTCCCGCCCACCATTACAGAGTGGTACCAGGAAAGTTTATGTGACCTCTGAGCTTTCTTTAGTTTCCCTTTCTCCAAAACGGGGAGAGTAACTTCCCTTGTAATGAAGAGAAAATGAGGTACAGTAAATGTTAGGTAACTGGGTAACAGTCATGACCCCAAAGCTGACATCCCCTGGAAGGTAAAAGGAGCACTTACTCAATTTTGGAGTGTTTTTCTCTACTCTTCCCCAAGCCCTTGCTTTTTTATCTCACCCAACCTGAGGCTGTCTGGCTAGGCTGGCAGGTCAGAGACTTGGCTGTCTGTTACAAACAGGAGGTTGTGTTGGCACAGGTTGGAAGAAAAGGTGGCAGTCTGGAGCTGGATGTGAATGTCAAGTTCAGATTCCAGAATGTCATCAGGCATTTGCAAGCTCTGAAGCTTTGAGCTCTAAAGTGCTATGCTGCCGGTGCACCTTTGGAAATGCTTTTCATAGGAGAGAGAGTGGGACAGGGAGCTTGCTTGAAGAATGAATGCCTCTTTTTCGTGCTTTTTATGGACCATTCCCCCCTGCTTTACAGAGCTTTCCCATGTGTTTTTTAGAAATGAAAACTGTTGCCCACCCCAGCCTTTTTCCCACCTAGTCCTGAGATCTATAGAACAAGCCAAGTTGAGCTAGGGAGAAGTTTGATCACTCCAAGTAAACTGGTAGAAAGTACCAGCATCGTGTGTTTAACAAGCCCTTTGCAGGACACAGGAGGCAGTATGCCTTGGCCTTGTGCATTCCAGCAAAGTGACCACATTTGGGGAGAGAAGGGGTTGCACAGTGTGGAGAGTCTCTGGTATGAACTGGATGAGGACTGAGAACGGTGCAGCCAAGCTGTGGGGACATTCCCCCATCTTTGTTCAAATCACCTAGCTCCCGCCCCTACCTCCACTACCCCCTCAAAAGGTCACTAACCTGCCACCTCTAACCCTCAGTTTTATTATTTATATAAAGAGGGCCCCTGGGACACTCACTGGGATGCTAGATGGCTAAATTGTGGCATAATGCTTGCCCTATCATAAGGGTTTAGTAGATGAAGGCTTTTCTGGTTTTCCTGACTATCAGTTCTCAGACACCTTCAAGATTAATGTTCTAAACCAACATTTAACAATGGAAATATTTATTAATAGAATCAGGAGCAAAACTTAAGTATTGCAAAGATAAATAGGAGATAGTTTTGGTTGAAATGGGATTGAAATACAGGCTCCAAACATTATACTACTGTTCAGTCCCTGAAGCAGTTTTGCTAGACCTTGAACAGTAAGAAACACAGTTCCAGGTCATGCAGCCAGGCAGCAGCAGTAGCCAGGCAGGGCTCATTCAGGTTATAATTCTGTAGTTTGCCCCGCTCAGTCACAGGCAGCCCTGGGAGTAAAAGCAGTGTCCCAAATAGGACCACGGACAGGAACGGCAAAAGCTTAGGAAAGGCTGGTTAGTCTAAGTAATTTCAATGATAGCCATGGCTAACATATGGTAAAGCCAAGTGTCTAGGCTATAGGCCCTCCTTGGACATCACTGCATCAAGTGACCATAGCCCATCTCTGAAGTGTGGATGTACCTATGGGCCAAAGGATGGCTTAGAGAGCAGGGAGACTGGGTCTTACAACTCAAGCTGTGAGCCAGGTTCTCAAGCCAGGACTCCACGGCCATCTATGGGAGGCATACTCTGGCTCTGTTGTATTCGCTCTGAATGTGTCTGCTTCTTACAGTGCCTTCAGAGGGAAAGCACTTCCTTTCTGACTAAATATGCCCCTCCAGGCAGACTGTGGCCACCCATAAATACAGCGGTAGCCTGATCATATAACCAGAATGGAATTTGGAAAGGGAATTCAAGCTGACAGAATAAAAAACACATCCTCCTTAATCCTAACCTTTCTAATGTTCACAGTGAACTAAAAGCACCTCTTAGCCTCTCTCCCTGCATTTCCATGAACGTAAAAATGAGGGTTTCTTACAGAAAAACATACCAAGCTGGCACAAAGCACAAATGTTCCTCCATACTGAGGCCACTTCAGTCTGAAAACTAGAATTCGGGCCACTGATATTTACAGTAAATATACAGTTCCTCTGTGATGAGAAAACAGACACACAAAAATAGTTAGCAGTCAGGACCGATAAAGTGTCACATATAGGATGGGGAGGACTGTCTGTGGTGTCTCTAATTCTCTAACACTGCAAGTTACAAATTATTAGCTCTATAGTGGGTAGAGGACTGAGGCTCAAGGAAACTGAGTGGTCCAGCCTTTCCATAAGAAATGCAGAATTAGCTGTGCATCTGAACATTCTCACTAAAACCCTACTGTTCTATCTCTGGTGCCACACTGCAACCTGGTCAGGATTGGCTGCACAAGGGCAAAGCCCTTCACGGTGTCCTTCAGGGAATGGCCAAGATGGTACGGGAGCCCCAGCTGGTACCAGTACCTATTGATTTCACAGAGTAGCCCCATAGCTATCATTTTTCATGGCCCATGGGAAAGGTTAGCTTGTGTTGGTGCAATCCTCTGCCTGATGGAGAAAAGTTCAAATTTCATCCCCTAGAGAGAGAGAAGGATGCAACTAGAGGTGGCAGTCAGGTCTTTCCCACTGATTTCATCCCAGAAAAGTAGGCACACAATTCCCCATGATGTGCAGAGGGAGCTTTGATTGAGAGACATAACTGTACTGCACCTCTCTGAGGTCCAACAGAACAGAATGAGTGGCTTTAAAGGGACTTATGGGGAGATAAAATGAAATGGTTATGCCCCAGCCTCTGAGCAATGGCTTCCAGAAAAATCAGGGAGCAGTTATAGGCTCCAAGCTCTGATAGTCTCTATCAGAACCTCAGAGAGGAGGTTAGAATTCAAACCCCTCTCATTCTGGGAGGATAGCTGGGAATCCCCTTGAATCCTTGCCCAAGCCAGTTTGAACACCTTCAACATGTGGGAATCGTTAGCTGAAGGTTCCCTTTCAAGGAATGTAAGGAGACAAGCCTCCTACAAACTCTAGGCAATAATTCTTTCCAACACAAAATACAGTGGTGGCCGGCCTTACCCACTATAAAAAGCTTCATATATCTACCCTGTACATTCCTGTAGAGGAGAAACCCCTGCGTATCTACCTGATTCCAACCCTGGTGACCAAAGTTTTGTTCAGTTATGCCCTTAAGTCAGGTTCTTGCTCTGCTTTCTTCCTGCCTATCATAAACTCCTAATCTTTAACAACAACCTAGTGTTTAATACCATCTTTACTCTCTTTTACACTCCACTGTGGAAAAAAAGTAAAATGTCCACATTGAAAAAGTTGTGAATAGAAAATCTTTTCCATGTGTATTTTCAGTCTATTTGTGAGTGGAAATTTTTTAAAAATTATTTCATGCCAAGTCATCTCAGATGTTTGAAATTTCCTGAAGTTCACAGGTCCTGAACTTTGTAGGCACTGTAACTCAAATAGCTCTGGCTGGTCTTTTAACCTTCTTCAAACACCCTATGCCAAGAGACAAAGGTGTTCCATAAGCCCTGTGAGTAGACAGCTTTGCTTCAGAATCAGCCAGTGGTCACCCCTCACCATAAGGGAGGTGAGGTAGCTTCTGCTAACTTCTTTCAGAATGTATTTAAACTGTTCTTGATGGAAGGGAGTAAGGGATAATGGTGAAGCTAACTCTTAGTTACTTTATTCGTTGTTGGACATAATACCTGACAGGGAGCAACTTAAGAGAGGAAAGATTTATTTGGCTTATGGTTCGAGGGGATACAGTCTATCATAGCAGTGAAGGCATGGTGGCAGGAGCTGGCATGACTGGTCACATTGCATCCAAGGTTGGTAAGCAAAGAGGCTGAATGCTGGTGCTCAGCTCGCTAGCTTTCTCTTTTTTATGCTGTCTGGAAACCCATGGAATGGTGCTTCTCACATCTAGGGTACATTTTCTCACCTCAATTAACCAATTCTAGAAAACTTCTCATAGACATGGCTAAAGGTTTGTTTTTACAGTGATTCCAAACCCCATCAACACTGACCATCAACCACCACATGAAAATTTACTGTGTTCTCTATCAGTACTGTGGCATTTTTTCACTAATTATTGCTTCCAGTATTGTTATGACTCGCCTATTCAAATGTGGGAGATCTGGGGTGAACCAATTCAAGCAGCTTACTCAATACCATGCATATAGGTGATAAGTGGAACCTGACCTCAAACTCAGTTCTGAATCC